ACAAAAATAACTTAAAAAAAATTAAAAAAAATATATAAAAAAAAATAAAATAAAAATATATATATATATATATATATATATATATATATATATATATATATATATATATATATATATATATATATATATATATATATATATATATATATATATACAAAACTCATTCTATCGAAATTATCTACACCCCTTTTTTAATACGTTCCAAACCCCATGAATCAATATTTTATTTTTGTTCTTTTGAATGCATCATTTGATTATTTTATTTTCTTAATTAGCTCCTAATGGTAATTATAACAGGCATATTATATGAGTTTTAGCTATAGTAGCATGCAAAATTTAAATCTCCCTTTTTACATAAACTAATGGACTAATTTTGCTGTCGCCTATTAATTTACGAGCAAGAGGGAAGCAATGAATAATTAAGTACAAATTTGTGTGTTTGACCCCTTTTAATTATTATCCACACCTTTAACTCTCCTCTACTGCTACATTTGAAGTTTTCCTGCAATAAATCTCCTTTATTTTACAGATCATTATCTTTTCGATCATGTTGTTTGATGGCTGAAACCAGTGAATCAATGGTTACATAGAAACTACATAGGATTTATGATTGAAACTTCATAAAAGAAATAAAATAATAATTCAAGATAAAAATATCTGTCACCCATTTATAGCAATAGAATTCTAATTTACATTTTCAATTATTTTCATAGAGAAGAAATAGGCATAAATTACGTTGGGAATATCATTTGGTAAGGTTTCAATTAAATATAATTTGTCTTATAAATAACTCACTCGGAAAGGGTTATAGAACTTTTAGATTAACGAAAAATTAAGAAACAAATATGAACATTTTTTCTTGATTATGAGGATACAGTTAAATAGAAATTTTATGTGGTCTTATTTTGTTAAGCAATCAAAAAAATTATTTCTTATGATTTACCTTTTCATAAAAATATCTTTATATTTAAAATATTAGCATTATGATAATATAAAAAGGTTAAGATTTTGTTAATTATTGAGGATTTGAAGTTCTTAAAAAAATAATAAAAAAACTAATTTGGGTATCTCAACATAAAAAATGTTTCGACACAAAGTCTTACTCAATAAAATTTTGTATCTAAAATATTAGTGGAGTCATAATAATTATGACATTTATCCTCTCGAAATGGTGCCGTGTCAAAAGTCGTAACCTGTGAACTTTCAAAATGGAGCGCTGTGCCAAATCAATAGACGCCGTCCGATTCGCCCGCTCCCACTTCCATCTACCGTCCATGGTCATGCGTTCGCATGTCCCTCGAGATCTCAGTCGCGATTAAGTATTTGAATTCGGACGCTCCGTACGCGTCACCTCCACTTTTCCGTTACAATACTCGCTTCTCTCTCTTCTTCAATCTGAGCTCTGAGCTGCAGACTGCCCCACTCTCTCTCTCTCTCTCTCTCTCTCTCTCTCTCACGCCATCGCTATCCCATCTCTCCTCCACCAACCTCTCCTCCTCCATTTAGACCCCTTGCTCGCCATCTCCCACAACCAGATCGAAGAAGCAGAGCGAGAAGGTGGGAGATCCCTCCTACCCGGCCAAGGAACAATACATCCCCAGGAAAAATCAATGGCCGGCTTTGAGGGCGTTGTCGTCTCCGATCCATGGCTCCAGAACCAGTTCACCCAGGTCGAGCTCCGTTCCCTCAAATCCCAGGTATGCCAACGACGACGCCTATTCCTTGGATCGGTTTCTCTCTCGCCGACCTTGTTTCGATTGATCGCGGTCTTCTGTCACGTCCAAAATCTAGTTCCTTGCTAGCGGCGGAGGCCGAGGGTCCCTCACCCTCCGCGATCTATCGGCCACCATGTCGAGGCTGAAGATCGCCGGCGACTGCCTTACCGAGGACGAGCGGGCTGCCTTCCTGAGGGAGTCCTATCCCGACCTCGACCATCATGTCGACTTCGAGCTCTTCCTTCGGGTCTGTTTCTACTCTATTTATTTGTTTCACTCTTCTTCTTCTTTCGGCGGATATGCATTCTAGTAATTTCTTTGATCGGTTTACGAAGATGGATCTGTGTATTCTCCTGAAGGTGTATCTGAAGATGCAAGGGCGGGTTGGTGCCAAGAACTCATCATCGGCCTTCCTCAAGGCCGCCACCACCACTCTGCTCCACACCATCAGTGAGTCCGAGAAAGCCTCCTACGTCTCCCATATCAATAACTACCTTGGCGAGGATCCCTTCCTCAAGAAGTACCTTCCCATCGATCCGACGACCGATGATCTGTTCGAGATAGCCAAGGATGGCGTTCTCCTCTGGTGATCCTCGGTGCCCTCCTTGTTATCTTTGTCGTTGGCTATTCTTGAAGTCTGTCGATTAGGGAGGAAGATTGATGTTTTTGTTCTGCCTGTGAAGTAAACTTATCAATTTGGCTGTCCCCGGGACCATCGACGAGCGGGTGATCAACACGAAGAGAGTGCTGAACCTGTGGGAAAAGAACGAGAACCTTATGCTGTTTCTTAATTCAGCCAAGGCCATTGGGTGTACGGTGGTTAATATTGGAACGCAGGACCTAGCTGAAGGGAGGGTTAGTATCTCTTGCCTGTCAGTACCGTTGGTTCAAATCAGCTTTAGATGTTCTTATGTTCCACTGAAGTATGCTTTGGTCCTTGTTTTTCCTTCAAAAGTTCAAAATGGAATTACTCATAGTTGTCATGAATCTTATGTTTTGTTGTCTGCTTATTACTTGTATAATTCAATAAATGCCTCCTTGATTAATTGTGAAGGTATCTCTGATCATTATTTTCCTACTGTTCTCATAGGAGCAAGAGTACCTTAGCATCTTTGTTGTTGCATAAACTGCTATTACTTGAATCTGAGATCGGCAAACGATTATCAACATGATTTAAAGTTTCCCGTGGTTTCAATTTTCAGGAAATACTCGACTTTGACTCTTGTATTGCCTCTGCTTGCTTCTATTATGGCAGCAGTCTCTTGGTGTAAGAGTATCATTAACATTTGGTGCATTTGCTTTGGCCACTGACATATGGCACTTGCTATTTCCTTTAAGATGAGATGGTGGTTGGTTAGGATCCTATGATCTCTCAAGCAAAAAGCAAATAGCAATCTTGTGCATCTTAAGTGAAAGAGTAACACTTTCAGGAGCATTCTACACTGATGAAGATATATAGATATAGATATATATATATACATATATATATCAGCAAATTAAGCTGTTTTATTTGTTTGCCATGTAATTTTCTATTAGGATTTTAGTTGTTGATCTTTTCATAAATTCTTCTTAAATCATTGCTGAGGAGATGTAAAACGGGCACCTCCGTCGGTGTCATAGTCCTATGTTGTTGCTGATTAAACTTGTTTGGTACAGAAGTGAGATGATAATGGCTGTCAGAAAGGTACTACTCCATTGAGTCTCGCAAGCACTTGCTTGTACAAATGTTTAGCATGTCTAAACACATTGACTTTTTGATAGTTCCAAACTTTTTAGGCATGAAGTTGAAAATTATTTCTGAATATTGGAGTTCTTAAGTATCATGCAGTTGGTCTAATTTGTTTGAGATTCAGAATACGTTTCACTTTAGTTGTTGACCATATATTTTGATCCAATTTTCTTTCAATGATGTCACTTCTATCATTTGGTTGGATTTTTATTATTCATAATTGGTTTACCATATTTGACCTCACTGTAGTGGCTAATACTTGATTGTACATTGTATCTTCTATTAGGGCCCACTATGCAGTAGTATATAGGAAAATCTTAGAAAATACTAAATTAGATGAGGTTGTCCACTATTACATGATGTATCATGTGGATGAGATAGTGGCAAATATTGACATATTCATTTTCACTCTATATGTAAGCAAACTCAAGTTCACAAACAGACTTGCATTGAAACTAAATAGGTTTTGCAATTCACATTAATTTATTTGCATCATTATGCTCATTTTGTGCTAAGGGCTTGAATCGTTATTATTACTTTGTAGCCTATAACATACTGAAATTATTATCTTCTTTAACCTTCTGCCATTATCTTTAATCCAAAGTGATTTTGTGAATCATTTGCTTATCATTTGTTTATGCTTTTCAGCCTCACCTTGTGCTTGGACTAATATCTCAAATTATCAAGGTATGTCTCTATTCTGATGCATAAGCAAAATCTATTTTGTTGTCTTCTAGTGATCACCGGAGAATTCCCAACTACTATGATGGAAAATGGATCTTAACCTGTGTTTCTGATAATATCACTATCAGATTCAACTTCTAGCAGATGTTAACCTGAAGAATACTCCTCAGCTTGTAGAGTTGGTTGATGACAGCAAGGTACTTGATATGTTTTTTCTTATAGCTATTACATCTTAAGATTAGTAGCGGTTGAAAGCTTTTCACCAAGGTAAAGCTCTAAACTATCTTTAAGTTCATTTGGATTCACAGGATGTTGAAGAGCTGATGAGTCTGCCACCCGAGAAGATTTTACTTAGGTGGATGAACTTTCAGCTCAAGAAAGGTGGCTTCAGGAGGTTGATAACCAACTTTTCATCAGATGTGAAGGTACAACCAATATAAAGATTTTAGATATTCATTCAGTCTATTCAGTCCTCTTCCTCATCCTTCTGTTGCCATCACTCTGCCAACCAACCCCTCCCATCTCTTTTTCTTCCTTTTTTTATTTGTTTGCCTTTTCTCAATATACCACATGTAGAACATCTAAACGCCAATTCATGAAATGACCTAAATCAAGCCTGAAGTAGTTACCAGACAATCCTAGGATTCTTTACGTTTTAATTATAAATTCCAAAGAGAACTTTTGTTTGAAGATAACTAATCTCAAAACTTCCTATCTTTTCCTCCTTTCTACTCCGTTTACATTCATTTTCATTGTATTCTTCATGACGATATGAATTCAGTTTGTGACAGAAAACATGATTTAGTGTCGATTCTGCACTCATGGGTACCATTGTTATAGTAACAGCTAATCCGGTCATATCATCTGTTTCTATTTCAGGATGGAGAGGCTTATGCATGTTTGCTAAATGTTTTGGCTCCTGAACATAGTAGGAAGCCTTATCCAAGTACAGTGAAAGATCTTCTTGAAAGAGCAAAATTAGTTCTTGAACATGCAGATAGGATTGGTTGCAAAAGATATCTGACCCCTAAAGACATTGTTGAAGGTTCACCAAATCTTAACCTTGCCTTTGTTGCGCATATTTTTCAGAAAAGGTAAGGGTCATTGGCCTTTTTATAATCTAAATATTTTGAGATAACTTTATGTAGAAAAAATTGCTAATATAAAGAAGAGGCCAAGATTTTCATTAAGCTGCTTAGTTTGATTATTTTCTTAACATGCTTGCATGTTGCTTGTACATTCCTTACATGCTTCTCTTTGAAGGTATACTGTGTACATTTAAAGAAATTTATCTGCAAAACCTATTCTGCTGGTTGTTGCATTTTTTCTGAGAATATTTATGTTGTAGATACTTAGACTTCATTGCCTGCTATTATAATTATAGAAAGAGCACAGGTGGGGAGCACAATCATTAACTAGTGTGATCTTGAGGATTTTTTACGCTTACAGAAGCTCACCTTTTGCTGCTAATAATTATACTCTACAATTGTCACAGTTGTCCCTAATTACTATGTATGCGGATGGTTTTGCACTCAAATTTTTATCTACTTGATCAGTTGGTTGACTTTTTGCAAATAATGTCTTAGGTATTGACCTAAGTACTAGTCCATGCCTTCAAAATCGAAGTGTAGCCACCTAGGGGCACTAGTGCCATATATACATAAGATTACTTGAAGCCAACATGAAAAGGACATGATTATGATGGAAACCTAGAATCAACACCACATAAACATGTTTGACTCAAAAATAAAGCAAATGACCCACTTTAAGAATAATTAATTTTATTAGTTAAATTGAATATTTTGAAATATAAACATGAACTGAGATGAAGATAACCCATTGACAAACTAAGAGTTACACATAAACATATAAACTATGTGTATAAGTAGTCAATAAATATAAGTAAGAAAAATCATGTGATATCCATATAAAACTGCAAATTATCTTTTTTCATATGCTGATGAAATATAAAGAGAGTTGAGTTTCAAAATTGGGTATAATACCAAATGTTCAATCTAATGACACAAAAAACATATACCTATCAACACTAAGTATAGCTCAAAAGTGAAATTCATTAATGGTTAACCTAAATCTGTTCTTATGTTGACACTCAGAATCACCCAGATCCATGTCTAGCTCGGAAGGGATGTTAATATAGTTGTCCTCAGTGAAAACATCATCAGCCAAGTTCCACTTACAAGATAATTGCTTATTCTTCTTGCCTTTCAACCCAAAATTTAGGATGTATAGCACAAGGCTATGGCAATTGGTGGTGGGTGGAGTTCTAGATCTTTTCAGCAATATCACCAAATTTAGACCATCACTCATGAAAATAGGGTTTTCATGATAAGTTTGCCAAGTTTGGAATGACAACCCCAGTTCAAGTAAGCATTTTTCTGGCTTATCCACTGTAGAAGGTCCAGCACCAAAGATAACATTTTATGGAAACAATATGGATCTATCATGTGTTATGTAGGAAGCAAGAGGAAACAATTGAGCATATTTTCTTCACATGTGAATGTACTAGAATGAGATAAAATGATATATGTAGACTGTTGCTATACTTTGTTACACCATGATAGAAATGGTACATGAAGAAAATGATGCTAAGGCAGAGATTTATATGTGCATTTGAAATCAATCAAACAGTAGTATTTTCCAGGTAATAGGAATGGACCATGAACAATCTTCATCTTGCTGCCAAATCCTACTATTTCTTATACATGAGAAAGGAACTTGAGATGTTCTGGCATATATAGTTTTCATTTTCTCCATCTTGTTATTATTTATTATGTAATTTGTTTTATGCATTGTTTTCAAAGAGGAGCAAGTGTCATGCAGACTTTTTCTATGATTGGTTTTAGTGGTAATGTGGTGACTATGCCTCTCTTTTTTTTCCCCTTCATGTAACTTTTTACATTGTTCTTAATATTATAATTGATAGAGGTACCAATTTGGCATGCCATTACACCTCAAACATTCTTTTCAATAGGATATTCTGTATTACCTGTTACCATAAACAGATGGGTTAAAAGCATTTTGTGTGGCTTCACCTTTTCTATAGTCACTTTCAAGTGAGGGTTATACCTTTTATTAACATATTTTATTGATGAAGAGGTTTTTAATTTTAGTTTTACCATTTGATTTCTAATGGATAAGTTAAATAAACTAACAAGCATAGATTGCTGAAACTTTTGAGATATGATCAAGAAGGAATAAATCTGAGTATCATAAATCTTAATTCATCCTCCACTAAAACCTTCTATCAACTTGAATTTTTAGTGAATAATTGATTGAGTCGATAATGGTAAATATGAGTCATCACTTCCACGTTTATTTCTTATCCTGTGATATAATGTTTGTCGTAGGAGAGATTTCTACTAGTTACAAGTAGACTTATTTTTCTCAAGAGTATACAAGTGTGTTTCATTCGAGAAATGTGGCTTACTAAGTATTCTATATATACTTAGTACCTCATTAATTATGAAAAATGCTGCATCCACATCTTGTTGAATGCATGTCAAGATAAATTAAGAAATAACATTCACTTTTTGTTCCTTTCTTTGTTGTTCACCTTATGCAATTTTTTATGACAAAATGGACAATATTGTTTTATACAACTTACAACATTCTCAGAAACTTAAATAATAGAATTTGTAAAACTATTAATTTTGTCTAATATATATTCCTATTCCATATGAAACATCGTAATTTAACTTTTTGGGCTGTGTATTGCAGCTGTATGAATTTAATGTTTATTTACATGTGTAGTATTTGGTGGGTCTTTGACCTTTGAGAGACCCACAAATGCAAATATTCATCTACACCTTTTGCAGAGCTAGATCTAATTTATTTTCTACAGGAATGGATTATCATCACAGATGAAGCAGGTCACATTTCTTGAAGCAAATTCTGATGATCCACAAGTTTCAAGGGAGGAAAAAGCATTTCGATTATGGATCAACAGTCTTGGAATTTCAAATATAAATAATGTATTTGAAGATCTTAAAAATGGGTAAAAAATTTATAGTTCTTATTGCTAGTTGTTAAATATTGTTTTAAAGCGTTTTGGAGCCGGCATTCCTAATGACATATTTATAATTTAACATGCAGATGGCTCCTTCTAGAGGTCCTTGACAAGGTCTCTCCAGGAATAGTTTGTTGGAAGTCTGCAAACAAACCTCCAATAAAAATGCTATTCAAGAAAGTAGAGAACTGTAATCAGGTAGTCAAAATTGGGAAACAATTGAAATTTTCCCTGGTTAACATTGCTGGACATGACATTGTACAAGGGAACAAGAAACTCATATTGGGTAAGACATCTGCAGATTTCCTAAAAATAGATATAAGTGACCATTAAAATTAAATTATGCATATCAAACTAATTTTTTAAAGTAGAGCTTGATCATGGGACCAGTTGAAGTTTTTCTTTAAGTGGCTTATTAGCATCTAAAATATATGTTTGTGATTTGAAAGTCTACTAAATCTGTTTATACTTCTGTTCCAGCTTTTCTGTGGCAATTGATGAGATACAACATCCTCCAACTTTTGAAAAATTTGAGATTCCATTCTCGTGAAAAGGAGATAAAAGACATTGATATATTGAACTGGGCTAACAATAAAGTAAAGGATTCTGGAAGGTACTCACGGCTGGACAGCTTTAAGGTATTCCACATTTCCCAGTTGTAAGGCTTTGTTGACATTCGGTGTACTTGTTCCTGATCATAGCATAAAGTCCTGAAATAGAATGATAACCTTAATTAGAAAAAGAGAAGCTTACACAACTTCTTTGCTGTTAATAAGTAAAGAACTCTGTTTCTTGGTTGTGGTTTCGTTAGAATCTCCCTCTGATGTTAACAACTGAAGCTCTTTTTTTCATGTTTATGGTTTTATTAGAAATTCTCCTCATACTACTAATTCATTAAAGCTTTTAAATCTTAATTATAGTTCTGTACATCTATTAGTACTTACAGGAATATTGGTTTTATGTTATGATTTGCTTTTCTTAGGTTCCAATAAATATTTGGGAAGTACAAACTATATTCCTTCTTTTGATGACTATTTAGCTAAATTTAGTAGCATTGTACATTTGATCACATATTGCAGAAAAAAACATAGCTCTCAGTTTTGCATTCTGCAGTAAGCAGATAGAAAGAAATGCCAACAAAAAATGTTAGATTGATTATCTTTACACTAGTTTGATTTCAGACTTTGTCTTCTTATGCTTATGATAGAACTTTAACAATATTTCTTGTATTACTTTTTATTACATAGAACAATCTTAAGCCAATCCTCTTTCCCGAATTTGCAGGATAGAAGTCTTTCGAGTGGAATTTTTTTCCTTGATTTGCTAAGTGCTGTTGAGCATCGAGCTGTGAATTGGAACCTAGTAACTAAAGGACAAAGCGGTATGCCCAAAGTTGTACTCACGTGAATGAATAATGACTTTTGAAATGTCTCATTTTTTGGTGTTGCATTCTGTAATGTACATTCAATCATTTTTAGTTGCATTTCTTTGAATTTTATAGTAAATTTTTGTGCTAGATGGTTATAGGTCATCTTTTGGACATCTCTAAAAGAGACAATGGACTCTATTACACATGGATATGGACATGGGCTCAAACAAAACATATATAACATTGAGAAGTAAATCTGTCTAATTTACATATCTATTGTCAATCCTCAACATGTCTTAGAGTACGTGCAACTTATGAATGATACAAAATATAAATAAGTGGAGATAATACAAGTGTCTTAAGTTATTTGAACTATCAGACATATGCCAAGATGAAGTGTTAGTGACGTAGACGAACACGGCATAGACCAAGCAGAAATATTTGGTAAGATATGTGTTTCATGGATGCAATAGTTAAATGTGATTCGCCATTTTGTAATACTGATGTGAAAGGTAAAGAGGAGATCAAGGAAACATTAATTAAAAGCAGCATAAAGGTTTTTGATGGCTTTTAGTTTGACAACTGATATTGCCATAGAGCTCAGTGACAGAAAAAAAAAAATTGAAGATCTATATACACAACTGTGGCTTGTTATGGTCACAGTTTTAATTTGCATAGAGTGTTTTATTAAAAATAATATCTCTTGTGAAATAAGAATCTCTTTATATACATGAGAAAGGAGCTTTTTTATTTCCATATTAATTTGTAGTAGGTTTGTGTAATAATTCAGAGCATCAACATGAACATGACTTTATTTCCATATGATATAGGAAATCTCTTTATATACATGAACATGACTCATTCTTGTTCCCAATCATCAATAATTATAATTGCTTTTGCCTGCTTAACCCTGTGTATGGTTCCAATTCCTTCTCCTGAATATGCTTGTAGATCGCTTTAGCGTTAGTTCTGATGTGCTTCTGAGTAACTTTACTCGTCTGAACTTGGATCTTACAAGCTTTAAATATGTTAATAATGTGTCATATAAGCATTTTAAATATATTTTTTTAGCTGCTCTATATCTTATATAAAACCAATGAAAGCAGCTTTTCATGGTCCCCATGGTATACATTTTCTTTATTTCTGTGGTAGATTTAGAATTTGACAAAGCAAATGATGCATAAATTAACCATCCCCAGACCCCCTCTGTCAGTTGGAACCTCATGTGACTGTTCTTTTAATTTTTAGAAAATTGACCATCAAGTTTGCATTGCATCTGGTTTCTGATGTGGGCTGCTCGAGGGGTTTGGTATATATTGCACCAACGTTTCATCCATCTGACCAAATTCATACCAGGCCTTAATTTCCAACTTTTCTTGCTCTGCATGAAGACTTTTCTTTAACATATATCAAATTTCATATTTCTTTCGGCCATGGAGAATGAAAATTGTTCTAAATTGAAAGATGCAAACTTCAGCAAGTTGCTTCTTTATTCTGTATGGCAGACTGTGATCTAATGTAGGTTGAGATGACAATTCAGGCGAGATATCTCCATGTCTCTGTTCAATTATCTAAGAAATTCACAAGGAAATATCTTGCTTGAACTTGAAAATTCTTATCAATATCCTTGGACATAAACAAACATATATCTTTATTACTCATGAAAAATTAAGGTCTAATTTGTGGAACAAATGCAGATGAAGAGAAGAAAATGAATGCCTCTTATATTATTTCAGTGGCAAGGAAGCTTGGTTGCTCTGTGTTTTTACTTCCAAAAGATATATTGGAGGTAACTTCATTGGGTGGATGATACAAAAGCCAGTTTACTATTTATTTAAACTACCCACCGATAACATCATCGTGTTCTATCTATGGTTTACTTCACTCAGGTGAATCAAAAGATGATGCTTACTCTTACTGCCAGCATCATGTACTGGTACTTAAAGAGGCCAATCACAGAGGACGGATCAGTGTCTTCGGATGGAGAAAATGGAAGTTCATCAGAGAGTACCTCCAGCTCCACTTCAGATGACTCTGGTTCAGAGTCTTCATCTGATGATAGCGGAGGTAGATAATTCCGACGCGGTCATATATTCTGACAATATCATCTGACTCAGTGTGTACATCTTTTTGTTCTCGTTTTACTACACCTTGATAGAAAAATGTTTGGAGCAGGGAACTGATCCAAATAGCAATCTTCCTTTTTGGCTTTTTGAGTTGGGTTTGTGATTGCGTTGCTCATTAAGAAATGTATTTGATGGAGAAGTCAAGCTGCTATGATTGTTGTATAGGCTAACCCTAAATTTTGCTCCTGTTGTCTTATTTATATTGTGAAACAGCAAAATATATTCTTGTATAGTGGTTAGCATTTTGCCTAGACTGCATCTGTCTTGTTCTTGGTATATGCCATTGCTTCTGCTTCTTTTACGCCTGCAAAACTTGAACTGGAAACTTAGTTAATTGCATCAAATTCACGCAATTTTTTCTCAGATCTTTACAGGATAAGGTATGGATTGTCACAGGTATGCTATTTTACCAATAAACGGATCATCATCTATGTTAGTTAGAATTTGTACTTCAATTGTTGATCTTAAATTTAGTCCATGAAACTTATCCAGTGAAAATCAAATTTCAGAGTCATTTTATGCTGTTAGCCAACATCAAAATTTTTTATGTATTTGACTAACAGGGCTAATACTGATTCTTGGTGAATTATGCAGACCATGGTTGATTAAGAGTCATGGTTGTTGCCAGAGTTTAACATTTATTATTATTTTTTGTGCAAAGTGTAAGTGATGAGTACGAAATTTGATTTCAAGAATCAAGGCTTTTATTGAGATATCAAATTCATAATTTGATCTCTCATGCACCTCGGAAGAAAATAGTTTCTTTACCTTTCATTTTATGTATTGTTGAATGGAATCTTCTTTTCATGCATTTTAAATGATCTTTGTTAGATCCGTAAATTAGGTTCAAGTTCTTTGTCATGCCAGTTTGCTCGCAACGAACAATTAATTGTTTGATTGACAGGAAGTACTAAGAACAGAGTGTTGATTGTTTCTCTACCGATGGCAACAAGCAATAGTGGCAACATTTTGATTTCATCTTGATACTTATTTTCCTTTTTTTTTTTTGTTTTGGCAGAATAATCTTAAGAATATTAATTTGTCCATAATAATTTTTGTATTTACTTCATATTTAAGTTTCAGATATATACAAACGCTCAAAAAGTTGCACGTATGTCATTTCAGTATATCTCTGTCAGTTAATCGTTCTTATAATTACATTAAAGCTCAAATTAATACTAACGATTTGAATTGTCTGAATGAATATAAATCTAATATTTAGATATCAAAGGGCAAATATCTTATTTCCATGCTTTGAAATGACTGATTCTTAGAAGAAACGTAAGGATAGAACTTTTTGCATGTGAATTATTTGGGTCCACAAAGCTCAATTGCCTCAAGAGAGCCCCCCATGCATTTCTTATCACCATCTTATCACCGATGTGGAATCATAAAGGCTAATGATTCGAGTCATGTCAAAAGAGTGAGAAATGATTTCTCAAAGATCGATACTGACAAAGAGATACCATAGAAAAGAGAATGAGCAAATGCCACATCAGCACACTGCAGCATCTAAAACTAGATATGAAAGCCAAACAGGACTACTTCTTTGAGCTTTACTCCTCTAAATTATTGCTCTCATTTGAAGAAAGAAAGGCTATTGGGATTTTATTAGATTAATGACAAATCTCAAGAGGCTTAAGTAAGTTGGAGTTGGTTTTGGACTCAAATTCTAATGATGACCATATAGAGTTTGATCTTCTCACTCCAGCATTGGACTTGAGCAACAAGCTGATGATAAAGAAGTGGAGTGAGAATGCACAAAAGAAAAGCCATCCCCACAACAGGTAAAGAGGAACTAAAGCTGCTTTGGCAGTACCAACACAAAGATTCCAGCTTTATTCTTTGCTCATCAAAGTTCTTAGGTAGCAGCATGACCATGAGTCAAGTCTCCACTTACTGCTGTGTGCATTTGGTTTGAGTGATTGGGTAGGTTGTTGGAGGAACATGGAGGTCCACTTCTTGAGCTGAAAGGACAACTCATGGTGAGAACTGAAACATGAGGCTGAGATGCATTCCCTGTGTTTTTGAGGATACTTTAAGAGTTCTTCTCAATCAGTCATTTGCATTATGTTGACTCTGCAGTCATAGAGCTTTTCTGAGGAGAAAGAGAATGCATGCACTTGCTTCGATGAAGAAGATAACAGAAGCAGAGAGAAAGCTAAACTACTGGGGAATTAAATTAGGTTTCAATCCATACACACAACTTGAACTTTCTGACTCCTTTAAAGTACAATGCAAAGAGGGGAAAGAAAAAAGAAAGACTGATATCACTGAACACAGCAAAGACATGAGAATATTATGAACTGAAGAAGATCCTGCTGATTTATCTTCTTTCATTTGCATTCTCTGAGGTTTCCACTGGTATCTAACTTTTCCTTTTTGTCTGCTGTGCATTGGGTCGAGAGTTCAATCCCCTCGATCCTTGCAATCCCCGAGTCTTTTCTGTAAACCTGCTATCACCTTCTCCATCTTTAAGAGAAAGGTGCTTAGCATCTTTCGATCAAGATTGTAGCTAATTCCAATGATTACACCACAGCAAATGTTTGGTAAGGGTGCAAAAGTGACAGATAAAAAGAGAAGATATCAAAAGCTGGATCAAGAACATCTGACTGGAGAGAATGCTGCATAAAGAGAACAGAAGGATACTGTTGAGGAATCAAGAAAAAGAAGACTTTGAATTTAAATTTTGTTTCTTCAGCTGCTGTGGTTCCTTGTGATACCATCCATCACAAATTTGCCATTTGTCTAAGTCATAGGAAGGAGTCGAAGAATCTTTAACTTTAGGTCGTGTCCAAAAATAATTAACAAGCGAATGTATGAGCAAACTATCATTATTGTTATGCCGATACACCGACCCAATAAACACTACAAAGACAACTATAAGGTTTATTAGGCAACAATAAATAATATATTTGAACATATCATGAACTTAATAATTTGCTTAAGTCGTGTGGCATACCGGTGACTATGTGAGTCATTAATGCATATATAGCCATGATGAAAAATCTAAAGTTGGATCATGTGAGATACTTAAATCTAGAATCCACAAGTGTCTCTTGGAAAGTGACCCACTTGTGTGCTTCATTAGCCTGCTTTTTTTTCTCTTTCTTTCTGGTGCTGTTGGACATGTTCTTATTCTCTATGATACAAAATTATCATCAGGTTGATGCATTACATTCTTCTGAAACAATGGACAGTCACAAATTCTGTCAGAAAAAGAATGTTATTCTCACATATGTATGAAATTTAAGACTGAAAAAAAAGCTTAGCTTGCTAAAATTAACATTTAATAAAGGTTCATCAAATGAACAGAGTTGAAAACTTGACAATGTTTTATGGATGAACACCAGAATCTTCATACACTAACAAGGATATTAAACTCATATGCCAAGGTAACCTTTACTTCAGTGAAATGTTATTGATGTCTACCAACTCCTAAAGTTGATGATCCCTTAGTTCTTTAGTTCTTTAGCACAATTTCTGTGCTAAACTAAAAAAAAGAAATGTTAGATGATAAATAAAAGTCAATAGAAGAAGCCAAATAATTCCTGTGAACAATGCTACATAATCCTTCAAAAACATAAAGAGTTTCAGATCACATTCCTAATAGCAGAGAACTCAACACCCATTACATAAGGCAAAAAAAGAAGAGAAAAACAGAATAAAAGGAGATTATAGAAACACCAGTTCTTTGTAAAGCTGCTCCCTTCTTCCCTAGCACTAGGCAATGCAATTGAGGCAGAGACACCATGCACAAAAATTGGACAACAATTTTTTCTGCAAAAGAATAAAGAGAAGAAAAATAATTATAGAAATTAGGGGAAAAAAATTGGTTTCCAAGCATATCATTAGATCCAAAAATTCCTGGCAGAGTCAATAGACTGTAGCTGAAAACTTGGACTTGCCTTCTTTGGCATTTGATCAAACGTCTCTGGAGGTATCTTGTAAAGGTCCTCGTCAACAGCCTTGGGCTTCCTAAGCTCCTGCTTCCCACAGGACTTCATCTTCTCCCCTCCTCTTCTCTCTCCTCCCTTCTTCCCCTTTAGGCCAATGAACGAACAAACTAAGAACAAAGGAAAACCACCCGACCCAGCAATGAATCAATGTCAAGATCCAACCTTTGCGGTCTGCTGATCTTTCTTGTATGGTGACAACACCCGAAAGAGATCCTCACCATCTCCCCCAAAGAGACGAGGCCTTACCAGACCAGCCTCCCTCGCCGATTCAAAGTACTGAGAGATGGAGATCTCGTCGTAGAAGCTGAAGTTCCAGTGACCAAATGCCGGAACCTGGTACCTTGTCATCACATCCTACGCATGCAGCAGACACATCAAACCATCACACTGCACGAACTAGGGATGAAGCCGCTTCAAGTCGTTTTGCTTACCTCCATTTCCTTCGAGAGCAGGAGAGAGGCAGGAGCTGAGGCAGGGATCGTCGCTGCAAATGATTAGATAGGAAAAGACAGAGTGCATGCACAGCTTAGGAAGAGGGAGGGGCTGCAGAGCGTATGTAGTGCGCTCTGATGCTGATAAAGTTGTAGCTTTGCAGCTGATATCTCATGATGTATGCGAGGGAACGGGAGCTACCATCGCATGTTGCTGCCGCTGCTGCTGCTGCTGCTGCCCAGGTTTGGAGACTCGAGAAAGGTGGAGGACAGCGATCGTGGTCCAAGCAGAGGATTAGGAAGACGAAGAGTAGTGGGAGGAGACGGAGGCTTTTGGTGGTCTCGCGCACTTGTTCACGAGAATAAACGATTCATGTCGATGTGTTTTCATCACAACCGTCCACAGTCTTGGTGGGTTTATCTCCACCGTTGGCGTGACTCCAGTGCAGGGAGACCCATCTCTATACGTAGAAGGAGAAGAGACGGAGAGAGAGAGACTGCATCGACGCTGAGCACAAAAAGACACGAGACATAATAAGACCGGGGGACGCGTCCAGCCCTGCGTACGTCGAGTACTATCACTGCGAAGAACCGGCCATGAAGGGGCGCAGAGCATCTTCAACTCGCCTGCCATCACGCAGGAGGAGGACACCGGCGAGCATGAGGCCGAGTCGACCAAGCCATGCATCGAAGCAGATGAAGCTGTACTTGGTCCATGTAGCTCATGCTGTTTGGATTCCTCGTGTTCGCAGATTGGTCGACACAGTCAACTGTGCCCACAGTTTGACTAACCACGTCACCCTTCGCTTTACAGCAGCAGCAGCAAACAATTTGTACTTTGTCCGATGAAGCTTCAGAAGC